TGTCAAATATCCAATTAGTCAGTCTTCATATGTTTTAATATTAACATCCAGTACCTTATTCAATATTAACATTATTATAAACAATAAGACTTGTAATATCTTCATAAAACAAGTATGGAGAGCAGTCTTCACACATACAGTGCCTTGCGAAAGTATTCGGCCCCCTTGAACTTTTCAACCTTTTGCCACATTTCAGGCTTCAAACATAAAGATATAAATTTTTTATTTTATGTGAAGAATCACCAACAAGTGGGACACAATTGTGAAGTGGAACGAAATCTATTGGATTTTTGAAACTTTTTTAACTAATAAAAAAATCAAAAGTGGGGCGTGCAAAATTATTCGGCCCCTTTACTTTCAGTGCAGCAAACTCACTCCAGAAGTTCAGCGAGGATCTCTGAATGATCCAATGTTGTCCTAAATGACTGATGGTGATAAATAGAATCCACCTGTGTGTAATCAAGTCTCTGTATAAATGCACCTGCTCTGTGATAGTCTCAAGGTTCTGTTGAAAGCGCAGAGAGCATCATGAAGACCAAGGAACACACCAGGCAGGTCCGTAATACTGTTGTGGAGAAGTTTAAAGGGGGATTTGGATACAAAAAGATTTCCCAAGCTTCAAACATCCCAAGGAGCACTGTGCAAGCGATCATCTTGAAATGGAAGGAGTATCAGACCACTGCAAATCTACCAAGACCTGGCCGTCCCTCTAAACTTTCAGCTCAGACAAGGAGAAGACTGATCAGAGATGCAGCCAAGAGGCCCATGATCACTCTGGATGAACTGCAGAGAACTACAGCTGAGGTGGGAGAGTCTGTCCATAGGACAACAATCAGTCTTACACTGCACAAATCTGGCCTTTATGGAAGAGTGGCAAAAAGAAAGCCATTTCTCAAAGATATCCATAAAAAGTCTCGTCTAAAGTTTGCCACAAGCCACCTGGGAGACACCCCAACCATGTGGAAGAAGGTGCTCTGGTCAGATGAAACCAAAATCGAACTTTTTGGCCACAATGCAAAACGATATGTTTGGCGTAAAAGCAACACAGCTCATCACCCTCAACACACCATCCCCACTGTCAAACATGGTGGTGGCAGCATCATGGTTTGGGCCTGCTTTTCTTCAGCAGGGACAGGGAAGATGGTTAAAATTGAGGGGAAGATGGATGCAGCCAAATACAGGACCATTCTGGATGAAAACCTGTTGGAGTCTGCAAAAGACCTGAAACTGGGACGGAGATTTATCTTCCAACAAGACAATGATCCCAAACATACAGCAAAATCTACAAAGGAATGGTTCACAAATAAACGTATCCAGGTGTTTGAATGGCCAAGTCAAAGTCCAGACCTGAATCCAATCGAGAATCTGTGGAAAGAGCTGAAAACTGCTGTTCACAAACGCTCTCCATCCAACCTCACTGAGCTCGAGCTGTTTTGCAAGGAAGAATGGGCAAGCATTTCAGTCTCTCGATGTGCAAAACTGATAGAGACATACCCCAAGCGACTTGCAGCTGTAATCGCAGCAAAAGGTGGCTCTACAAAGTATTAACGCAAGGGGGCCGAATAATTTTGCACGCCCCACTTTTGATTTTTTTATTAGTTAAAAAAGTTTCAAAAATCCAATAGATTTCGTTCCACTTCACAATTGTGTCCCACTTGTTGGTGATTCTTCACATAAAATAAAAAATTTATATCTTTATGTTTGAAGCCTGAAATGTGGCAAAAGGTTGAAAAGTTCAAGGGGGCCGAATACTTTCGCAAGGCACTGTATGTGTGAAGACTGCTCTCCATACTTGTTTTATGAAGATATTACAAGTCTTATTGTTTATAATAATGTTAATATTGAATAAGGTACTGGATGTTAATATTAAAACATATGAAGACTGACTAATTGGATATTTGACAAAAGCAGAAATGACAAAATATTAGTATTTGCATACTAATAGCAGTCGAAAGACATTCCTAAACTTTTCAGCAGCAAATTTGCAGCATCAAATGTGTACATATGTAACAGAAACAATAATGGACTGTCTGTCTTACCCAATTTGCCAGTCTACATTTGCAACATAAACAATATGCAATGTCGCTTAGCCTCTCCAGTCAAGAACTGGCTGGTAATTCAGACCCAGGACAGCCTTGAACCATGTACCTGATTACAAAAGGAGCACAAACAAGACAGTGAAATCATCCTGTCCCTGGACATCAGTTTCAGTATCCGAAGGAAGCTGTGGACTCATCAGGGCCACTCAGAACTCATCAGTGAGTTCACACCACACTGACAGGAGACAGTGAGCACAGATTTAGGCTGCACCACCATTACTCCTGATAATTAATAATTTCTGAAAAAAAATAACATTCTGCTCTCATACTGGATAAATCAAAACTGCCTGTGATGATTTGGATCCTTCTTCAAAGGATAACTGCAGTCCCAATTTCTAAGACCAGTTATTTAATCTTGGCAACAAAATAAATCAATTGATGGTATTAAAAAACTTTACAAATTCTGAAATAAGCACAAAATCGTGAACATGTATGGTCGCCATATTGTCATAAACCACTGGTGTTGCCATGGGGAAGAGCAAGAATTTGTGTGAATTGAGATGTAAAACTCGCCTTTCCTGCTTGCTAGTCATTGTAATGACTGATGTAGTGCACAAGCAAGCAAGTACAGGTTAACACGCAGTATTTTTTGGCAAAACCATCTCAAAGTCAAAGTTGAATTAAATTCAATTGCACTCATTCAAATTAGTTTAAGTATCTAAAAAATATATGTTGTCTTGTATAAGTCAGTTTCATAACATTATAAATAAATTGATGCAGTAGCAAAAGTCACTTGGTTTAAAGCATTTGTTGCAACAAAAAATAAGATTGTTCTCAAATATTGTTAATTTGGGATAGGATGCATATATTGAAATTTTTCTGCTTTGGAGTTTACAATTCGTAATATGAAATATATTTTTATTTATGATACTGATTCAAAACTTGTACTTTAGCCAGGTGCCATTCCAACCGTTTTTGCTCATAGAAAGCAACCAATGAAAAGAGAACACAGTGAGAGGATATCAGTGCTTAACATAAAAATAGAAAAAATCTATCTTCATGATTTAAGTGATCTTTTTAATCATAATTATATTTAAGACCCAAGTAAATATGTGCATTAAATATAGAGAAATATTTATATTTAATTAAGAGAAATGCTGTTGGATTAAAAGAGATATATTCACAAGCCTGCTTGTTAACAATGGCATAGGGCCTCTTCACTTCACCAGAAGTTTTGTTGCCTTGCTCTGAATTACAGATAATGAAGACAATATAGCTTACCCAGAAATTTTGTATATTTTGTGATGTAAATTAGACATCTGTTAACATGTTACAGTTAATATGATAATTTCATTGTGGTTTGCAATTCATCTATACTGATTCTTTATAATCCCAAAATATAAAAATAGCATTACATTTCCCCTTTAATAATCCTCTCCAAGGAAAATGCGCTAAAAATGGGTTCTGTTGGAATAATGAGGCTAATAATGATATTTTCTTACATGAGTTCAGTATGTGCAGTTTTGTATTTGTGTTCTATTTTGCTAATATTTGTTTTTGCTTGTATTGTGCAGCACTACAGTTTATGTCTTATTGATGTTTTGTTTCATTTTGAAAAAAATTTCAGTTATTTATTTTACTTTAAAATCTCTCTATATTATGACATTTGTTGGGGTTTTTTGCATGGTGTCCTATACTATCTTCTTTTTATAGGTTTATAAACTATTTCAGTTTTTTATTCTCCATGTTCTCAATGTCTGTCTTATAGTTTCAGAAAGTTTGTTTAATTGTTGGTTCACAAATAGCAGCAATATATACTTTGATTTTACTTGTAGTTCCAAGGATGATTGTTTATTCTTTAAGTTCACTTTTAACCTTGACAAATTTCTGGCTCAGTAATCTGAATCTTGTTTAAGAGAGCTTGCTATCCTGGTATTTTAGGAAATTTTGATTTCAGTTTTTGTGAGAGTTTCAGGCTGAAAACACAGTCTCCTAAATTGGTGATGCAATTTTAAAACACAGTGAGATTGCTTCCCATTCATATATGGGTATCCATGTAATTGGAATGGAGATTTTGCACTGGGTTGTATTCTTTTATTTAGGATAAAGGTGGATCTGTCATTGGCCTGTTACAACATTATACTGTATAATGTTTCAGGGTTAGCATTCTGTATTTTCTTAAGAATGTAGGCCTCTGAGATGCCTTGTTGTGTAGCTGGTATATGTGTTTTTGTTTAATGTTTTATGTTATTTGTGTCATTTACTTTTGTTTTATGTTTTTATTAATAACTATTTGTTTGTCACCTTTGCCTCTGATTTATTACTCTTTCACCAGAGCTGTGACAGAGAATACAGAAGTCACGTGTCAAAACTACTATGCCTCACATTAGACCTACTGCTGAGGTTTATTTTAATGATTTATTTTAAGCATATAATTCCTGTTCTTCATTATCCTGACAAATTCTAATCTGTACCAATATTTAAAATATCAATCAATTTTTAGAAGGTTAGAAAATCCATGTGACACCCGCTTTTATAAACATGCATCGGATGTTGTTTTGCACAGTCTTCCATGGACTAATAATATGCTGCCAACAATCTAACATCTCACACTCTATCCCTTAGCATACCAAAGTAGTACGTTCAATTGAATAACACTTATCATGGATCTGTGAGAATCCCTTCAATACTTCTAATTAGTTTATATCTGTTTTACTTACTTTTAACAGAGTTGATCTCGGGGAGCGTTAGGCTTTTCTTTTCCTCACATCCCTTCTCTAATTGATATTTGACGATGCAATCAAAGCATCTTCACCTCTGAGGAAACAGACTGGGATAGGCTCCCCCTGACATTTTGTCTTCTTTTCACAGCCTGATAAATTCTACACCAGAGCTTCAAAACCAATGGAAATTATTCTTATAAAATATATATACTCATTGTAGGCTACACATGCCTCTTACCTGAATATCAACACGTCCTCTTGTTGTTGCCATTGCATTAAATAGTCAGAGTTTTCTCTCACCCTCCTAAAGTTCCAAGTAGTGAAAAGATTGAAATTGGCAGACAGTTTTAAAGGAATTCAGAACACCTCAGCAGCTGGCCAGAAGAACAAGTATGGTATTCATTATTTCACTATGATGCAGTCAGTCACAGCAGTGGGAGTAGAAATGAGTCATGTGACAAAAACAGCAATAAAATGTATAATTTATGTCTTAAAGGTACATTTTGAATAATGTTTATTAACATTTGTTGATGTTAATTAAATTTGAGAATAGTATTTGAGATATACAGTAATTTCATTGTTGTAGAACCATGTCTTGCGCTTAGAAACATAACAAGACTTCAGTTTATTCAAAACACTGGTTTACTTTGTGATATCAGATTTCGCTATTCTGAATTATGCTCAGTTGTGTTCTACACTAAAAAGATTCAGTTCATGAAGAAAAGCTCTTTAGCTCTTTGTGCATTACGGCAAGAGAAATGCATTCATTTTGATTGGGAATTAGTTAATAAAAAGAAAACAGTACAGATAAGGGAGAAATGTTCAAATGAGGGTGATTTAATTAGTTGAGTGCCAGAGAAATGCTCTCTGTGACTTAAAGAAATGCCCTATACTTACAGGCAGTACAGAGAAGACTTTTTAGTTTTGAACAGAGAAGACTAAGACCCAATAAAAGTATTGTGATCTGACCGGACTTTCACTTCCTTTAAGAAACAGCTGGATGAGATATTTGGACAAATAAACTAGTAACTATGAAACAGGCATCCCCTAATTTGTAAACTTTTTTACATTCTGTAACAGATCCTTGTCTTGAGTAGGGTGTAATTTAAGGACCTTCTCATGACAGCCTGTACTGAGGTCTGATAACCTCTTTCTTTCTTACTGTGCAAAGATCTACAGTAAGTCTTGAATTCCATAATTAATTTGGCTGCTAAAAATCACGGCAGATACTGTTTGGTTAGAAGTTGGGATATAAATGTTTGACCATGATTCTCTGACAAGTCTGATACACTAACCATCGACTCTACTGTATAATTTTTTTAAGCCAATCTTTTATTCTTTGTCATCCTAAGATTTTCCTAAGTGGTTCCTAAGACCCACACCTTTACTGGTTTTCACCCAAGGATGGCTGATACGGTAAGTGTTGTCTGGCTTTACCCTGCTTACGTAGTGAAATCTCCCCCTGTATTAGCTGTTTCTGTAATTTCTTGTGAGAATGCAGCTTGCACCCTTTCATTTGCTGGAATGATGATGCTCAGTTTGGGTTATTCTGTTCCAGCTTCAATCCCTCCAATATATTTTGCTTTATCACTATTCTTACGTTCTAGATGGCCAAGCCAGAAAAGGTAAAACTATCATGAATTACTATAGAATAAAGAAAAATTAATGCTTCACAGAAATTGTTAAATTAATAATATTTTGACAGTTTTGCCTACCAGAGGGAAACAGTTAGGGTAATATTTTCTCCAGGATATTTGTATGTCATTCCCTCCTTTGCATCAGTTGGGTATCAAGTTATGGCAAGATCTATGAATTGACTACATTACTCTGCTCTCCTCCCCACTGATAGCTGATGTGTGGTGAGCGTTCTGGCGCACTATGGCTGCCGTCGCATCATCCAGGTGGATGCTGCACATTG